AGAATGTTATCACCTATTTTTATTATGGTCAAGCCCCAGGCAAAGGACTCCTAAGGTTTAATTACACTAAAACCACACGCCAATATCCGTCTTGGAAACAAGCCTTTTTGTCAAGATTAAAAAAAAACAAAACTTAGTGTAAACATCGAATGCACAAAAAATATCACAATTAAACCACAATTTTGATCTGTTAAAATTCAAAATAACGATGTAAACAAACAAATTAAAACAAGTTTTATTGAATTCAAAACTGTTATTGATAACGAGGTTCTAATTGGATCTCCTCGGAACCAACTTTTACGGAACTCGAGCAATTTGGCGGGAACCTGCAACGCAGTTTATATTGCGCGGTAAAAACGTGACATGACAGCTGTCAAATTAACGCGAATCAAATAAAAAAATAAATACTCTATGATTTGTCACTTATACAAAAATTCTTCGCAATTAATTTTGTAATTTTATGTGTAAGTATTAGTATTTATCTGACAATAACTATTCGTGTTTAGGTCGAGCATTTTTCGAAACCGAACAAAAACCGAAGCAGTTGCTATTGCTATTCTTCATTATTATGATTGTTTATGTCAGAGTGGCCCGGATTCTCATGAGTGAAGGTGCTGGCTCGAAACCTAACATTTTCATTTAATTTAGACACTGCTGAAAAACAATGAAATAATTGCGAGGAAACCCGTTATAGGCTGACGATGGTGATTATTTGCTCACTACGTCATAACTTATAAAATTACAATTAGGTATAATGGCTGCCACATTTGACGATGTAAAGACAACTACTGATAAAGATTGTTAACCTTAATTCGTCCCTTTTGATCGATAAAATTCCGATGAATATTACAATATCAAGGCATTTTGAACTTTATGACCTAGAAGGAAGACGTAATGTTCTTCGTACTCAGCAAAAACTGCATCTTAGGAACAGGTTTGTTGGTAAGGTTTGTATGATTACAAATGATGCAAGGATGAGAAATTGGATCCATGGCTTGGAGGTTAAGGTCCGCTTCTCAGGAATGAGTAAAACTAAAACCTGGCAAAAACTCACGTATCTTTTGCCGTTATAACATTATTTTGACGTCAAAAAGGCACGGTGAAGGACAACATAGTTAGGAAAACTGGACTAATTCCTAATTATGAGCTCGAAATCGTCAATCTGCATTAAGCAAGCGTGGCGATTAATGCTTAAATCTTTTACGTGTGGGAGAGGCCTTTGCTCATCGCTTTGTAAGTACTTTTAGGCGGATAATGATGGCGATGGCAATCAGGTACAAAAACTAAATTAAAATTAAAGTACAATTGTGGACGCGAGTATGGTAGACGTGACTGCCGAGGTAAACAATTTGGGTTTCATTCAAATAATGTATTACAGTAATGATATATTGGTTTGACACGTATGTCTGCTGACCTAAGGGGATTTAATCGTTATAATAATAATATTATAAGGGACACAAGAGAAACCTTCTTTGTATGAACCGGTTTCGCACCGAAGAAAGCTAACTACAAGTACTTTTGAAATATATGCGAAATATTATGAAATTCTGATCTTGTGCAACATTTGACGCATAAGGAAAAGGCAAGGAATACCTACTCAGAGTAACTGAGTAAATAATTGTATATGTTATGCATGGTAGATGCAATTTGCAACGTTCCTTTTTTAAAATGCATTGCAGACTTTTTTATGTCTATTGTATTGTATGTAAAATTAAGTTTTCTTTATGTGATAGTGCGGTATCTAAACGAGCTACCAGATCACCTGATGGTAAGCAACCGACCGATGCACTCACTAAACTAAAAGAGTACAAACGTGTTGCTGGCCTTTTAGAGATAAGGGTTTCGGGGAATTAGGGATTGGGTAGGGATAGGGGGAGGGGAAGGAAGGTCTTAGGTAACTTCACTTACACGCGTGAAACAACCACAGTTTGTTTTACACTGTTATTTCACGCCAGCTGCTTCCCTGAGGCTGCTGTGTCACTCCGGTCGAGCCGACCTATACGTGTCGAAGCTTGGTTCATCCAAACTATATTATTTTATTCCATAAACAACAATCAAAGTTAATAAAATTAATATTTTATTATCATTAAACATGTCCTTTTAGACTAGGGTACTTTGTTCAGATTATTAAATATCTACCAAGTGCTTACTGTCAGGTACTTCAAGTCAATTATTTATCTTGAAGTTCAAGTTTCCTCGTGTCATCCAATTATCGAACAAGTTAATTGTTATCATCACTTTTGAGTGGATCAGAGGTGTTATTGTGGACGTCAATCATCAATACTGAAAACATGAGATACATACTTGTTATTCACGGCTTTGCCCGTGAGGAGAAGAGGAAAAAGTAGCCTATGTATACCAACCGTTGCCTATAGCGCGGTTGAGCTAGTATTCGTGCTGAAGCCGAAGTTTACATTTGTAATATATATTGAAAGTAATTATTAAAGTTAAGGAATGACTCTTCGGATCGTGTTCTCTGACTAAAAAGACCCAGTCCCCAACTCCTGTCCCCTGATTATCTAGACACCACTGATATATGGTGAAGGAAAACATCGTGAGGAAACCTGAACGAAAAGTTTCTAATTATAAGTTTGAAAGCCAGTTCCCTTTAAACAAGCATGGTGATTGATGCTCAAACCTTCTCCGTGTCAGCAGAGGCCTTTGCTCAGTAATGGGCACTTATGATGTGACGTTGACTCTTGAAGACTGATGATATAATGTGAAGGAAGGTTGATCGTTGCTTCCAACCCACCAGACTGCAAGTCACACAAGCTATGGACTACTTGATACAGATCCGATGAAAATGATGACGATGATGACAAATAGACATAAGTGAGGATATTCTATAAGAGTGCACTTCTATGCAGTTTTACTATCATTATTTAAATACGTGTGCAGCGAATTTGCAAATCATCGTGATTAGTTAAAGTAAGAAAACTTCTTTGTTTACGTAGATACCTTGCAATATGCTATTATTTTAAAACAAACTAAACACTTTTGTGCATTAAAAATGCAACGAACATTTAGTATCAAAATAGTAATGTTAGAATGAAGAGCTTGTTTTAGGGTATAGGCGAAGAAGTCAGGAATAGCCCGCCATTTACGGAATGTATAAAGATTGTGCTCTAGCCTAGTGCAGAGACAGACTTAACCTAACTATGATGATGTTCAGCCAGGGTTGCGGGGCAAGCGCAATAAGGCGGCCTCGGCCTAAAGCAGGAGAAGGAACGGGTTGATTTGTACTCATTAAGAGTCTGGTAATCCCAGTGGTCTGACCCTGGTCGAGGAAACTAATTTGAGGATCCCCCCCCCGCTCGAAAAAAGCACGAAGACCGAGTTAAATAAGATGGTTTTGAAGCGGTAAAAGTTTGACACTCCCTTCTTCTTAACCCAGCTGATGGAAAGAGTCACTTAATGATTTTCCACCCAACCAAGGAAGCTCAATACCTACTTCTAAATGTAAAATACTTCTAAATGTAAAATATTTCGAGATCAAAATTAACTTTTTTATGGAATAGGAGACAAACGAGCAGACGGATCACCTGATGGTAAGCGATCGGCGCCGCCCATGGACACCTGCACCACCAGAGGAGTCACAGGTGCGTTGCCGGCATTTTAAGAAGGAGAACGCTCGTTTCTTGAAGGTTTGAAGGTCGTATCGGTTCGGGAATACCACCGCCGGAAGAAGAATCATCAAAACTAAATCTAGCAGTTTTTAATTTCAGTCAGACTAACGACCAGCAACTAATATTTATGTTTACCTATACAATAAGTTAAAAACACAAAACCATAATATTGACATTAAAGCAACGATGCAAAACATATTTTTTAAATTAATTGTGTTATGTTAAGATAATTCACCAAAACAAAACTTAATACATAACACAATTAATAATGTTTTATTTATAAACAACGCACTAATAACTGTTTATTTGTTAAAAATAAGAGATAGAGTTATAGTTTACAATACCGCCAACGTATCTTGACGAGTCTGAAGTTAGCCGATTAGCTGCGCAGTATACAATTTTTTTCTTAAAAGATCCATTGCGCAGACAAACGGCTAACTTCAGACTCGACAAGATACGTCGGCCGTACTGTACGAAGCTGTAAAGATATATGTATAATAAGCGATTTAACAGAATAAAAATAGGATAAGAAACTAGACCTATGATTAAGTAGCTGAATTTCTCACAACAAAGACGTTTTCTTTGTGCCTATCTTTATATATAAAAATGAATCGCAAAATGTGTTGGTAAGCGCATAACTCAACAACGCCTGGACCAATTTTGCTAATTTTTTTTTGTTGTGTTAAGGTTCTTATCAAAGAAATGTAGTGGGGAAGATTAGGAAAAAGTGACCCTTTGATAGCGAGATAGTTGGACCCGTGCGAAGCAGGGGCGGGCCGCTAGTATTCTTTATAACTACGCAACGGATTTTGATGCGGTTTTTTTTATAGATGAAGTGATTGAAGAGGTTGTTGTTGTTGTACCACGTGCGAAGCCGGTGCAGGCCACTAGTATATTATATTTTTATAAACGTAAAAATGTTTGTAATGATGGATAGATGAATATTTGTTACTCTATTACGTAAAAATTACTAAACGTATTTAAATGAAATTTGGCACAGAGATAGATTAGTCTGAAATAACACATTCTTCTTGTCTTCAAGGCCCGAGATTAATAGGTTGGTTATGGGTTCTCCATCGTAGGTCGCATCCTCGCTTACTAGGTACCAGGCGTGGTAGCGACAAAATGCCTGTGCCTTACGAAGTAAAAAAAAAAATACACATAGACTATCTTTTGCCCCTGATAGTGCGGCAAAGCCGTTGGCAGAAGCTGGTTTATACCATACTACGTCTCTCTGATTAAAAAAAACATCTGTAGATAACTAACCACGTGCCGCATACCATTTTTGGGCATAATGATTATAATATTATCAACAATCGTACGCGGTCAGCTGACAAATACTATATACGAGGAGGCAAGACAGCTGTGAGCTCAGTGTGTTCCCACCGTATTACGAGTTAAGACGAAAATTGTTCGTAAAAGTACTTACTTATTATATTTTACCGCGATTTTACCGCTTGACACCAAGCTAGTGTTGTGCCAAAACAGTGAGTTGTGTTATTAATAATAATAGATAATATAATATTTTTTGTTACATTTTTAGGTTTATTTTTTTGTAAGGTGAATTTAGAAAATTCGAATTCGATTTTTAATTTATTTAAAATACGTTAATGCAAATTCCTAACGGATAAACTAATTTTTAATTAGACATATAATGGTAAATACTAATTTATTTAATAAATTTTTTTGCGATATTAAACATTTCTCCAATACGTTTTAGAAATCGAAATGAAATATCGTACCTACACAAAAAATATTTATATTTTTTGATGATAACTCCTTGTGTGTGTGTGTGTGTGTGTTTATTGTGTGTCATACACAAAAATTGGAGATTTTTTTTCTGCAATAAATAAATAATTATTTTTTACAAGAATTTACGAGTTGCCGATGAATGAGTTTGACTCTAACTAACATGTTGGTATATTAGTTATATAACTGCGGCAATCAAGTTACCGTCAGTAAGAAACCTGTTCTGTTCTCGTCATCCAGGTCACTAGACCACAAAACACATACATGGCTTAACTAACGAGAAATATATGCGAAAATAAACTCTAAGCAGGTGTAAAATAAATGTTAATTCACAAAATCTAAATATTTTTTTAGAACAACGACATCTATTATGAATTTTGTAAAACTATTGCCCGGTACGTTTTTGCGACGTAATAAATAAGGAACCGGTCGATCGATTGTATGTAAACTTCACATAAAATATATGTTAAATAGTCCGAATAAAGCCCAAAAAATTTATTTTAATTGATGAGTCTGTTTTTGATTTTTGAAATTATTTTTTTACTAGCATTTGCTTGCGACTTTGTTCGCGTAGAATAGTGACTTCCTGTAGATTTTTGGTATAAAAACTATCCTTTGTCCTTTCTCGAGTTCCAAACTATGTCTGTATCAACTTCCACGCAAACAACTTCAGTAATTTAGGCGTGAAGAAAAGACAGACAGACAGACAGAGTTACTTTCGCATTTATAATATTAGTTTGCATTTGCATTTGGACTATATCCTACCTAGGCAATGTAGAATAGGTTTGTACAATCTTGTGGTTTGCCGTGTGAGTTAGATTACCAGAGACCCAAATATCAATTTTGTATCAAAATATTAATAAAATTTACGAAGTGTTCCTACACATTCCACTACTAGCTACTCTCGCGCTGTTTCACCCGCTGCTCGGCTCCTACAGAACACAAAAAGAATCATTCAAATCGAACCAGTGGTTTTAGAGATTAGCGCGTCCAAACAAACAAACTCTACAGCCTTATAATATTACAGTATAGATAAGTGTTTTTTTAATGGCAATTTTCAACGTTCAAAATAACTTTCGACATATTTTGAATACCTATTCGATTGGCACAAAAAATTATAAAAAATGACTAGCTCTTGCCCGCGACTTTCTTCGCGTGGAAAAGTGACTACCTGCAGATTTTTGGCCTATGTCCTTTTGCTCGAGTTCCGAAATATGTCAGTACCACATATCACAGAAATCGATTTAGAAGTTTAGGCGTTCAGAAAAGACAGACAGACAGAGTTATAATATTAGTTTGGATATTAATTTGATAGTTGATATAAACAAACAATTCACTTTGGTGTACAAAATGTGTGCATTTTTTATCCGATTTCATATTAATACCTATACAATTATACCTATAAAATCAAAATCATTAAACTAATAATTTCAACTTTCATTCAGTTAAACGGAGACGATTCCAACACACCGAAACAAATGAAAATATGTTCAGCCGTTTTCGAGTTAGAAGTAGGTAGTGTAATTGGTACGCGTACGCCACTTGAAGCGCTTAAGATAACTTTAGCAATAAATGATATCTAGATTACATTCGAACAAATGTAAGTAATAAAATGTCAATGAACTTAAAAAAGTGATAATATTTTTTTTTGTTTTTGTTTGCTAATTAGGTAATTTGATAGAAATATAATATTCTGTAACATATTGAATAACAGCAATCTTTGGGTATAACTATCGAATTATTTTAAGTTGAGACAGGAGAGCAGTGGAGTTTGCTTGGTCAGTAGTTCCTGATAAACTCGCTCAGAATGACTGAATAATTATTAGTTACGTATATAGATTCATAAGTTAAAGTTTACTGTCGTGGGGAAAAATAGACTTATAATTTCTAATTATAAGTTCATAATCACCAATCCGCCTTGAGTGAGCGTGGTGATTAATATTCAAACCTTCTATGTGTGAGAACAGGCCTTTGCAGCATTGGATATTGGATATGTATGTACTTATGTAGATTCATCTTCATAACGTACTGTTATTAAAGCACCTGTTAACATGTACCTTAATGAGTATTCTATAATTAATATTGAATGACAAACATCGATAAGATAATTTCAATTTGTTTAATACTTATTGTTCGCATGAAACCCTTATAAACAGTCACCTGCTTAAGAAATGTGATTAAATATGTGACGTGACGTACATTATTTATTTCTATAGTGTGCCATTGGATTAAAACAAAGAAATAACATATCATCATACTTTTAAAGCATTGGGGGATTAAACAGAAGTCATTATATGCCATATAAGCCCATTTCTGCGTCCCATCATATTTTGGAAAACTGAAAAGCTAAATGCTTCTTTGTACAACATGAAATGTCAATTTTTTCTTTTTTTATGTAATAAGTCGGCAAACGAGCAGACGGATTACCTGATGGTAAGCAATCAACGCCGCCCATGGACACCCGCAACGAAGGAGTTACGAGTGCGTTGCCGACCTTTTAGGGATTAGGGATTTGGAGATTTAGGGATTGGGGAAGGGTCCGGGAAGGGGAAGGATTGGGCCTCCGGTAACCTCACTCACACGGCGAAACACAACGCTGTGGTTGTTTCACGCCGGTTTTCTGTGAGGCCGTGGTATCACTCCGGTCGAGCCGACCCATTCGTGCCGAAGCATGGCTCTCCCACACTTAAAATATTTTATTTTAATTTTTAATTTTAATAATTACTTTTCTCATATTTTAAAGCGACAAACAAAGAGACAGGTTAGACACGTAAGCACTCGCAACACATAAGCGCGTTGCCTTAAAGAAGGCATTGGGAAAGGAAAAAGACACGATTGGACCTTTTTATTTACAAACGGATAGGAAACCTTCAAAACGCGCCTAGCTTTGGGAAAAAAGACTAGGGAGTGTGGGATTTTTACCTCGTTAAAACCTCCCTGGTGGCTACAATCAACACATATTGAGGGACACCGGGACCTCTTGATAGACCATTGGACCTACGGTAACGTCACTCATACGATGAACCACGGCGCAAGTTTTGTTTCACGAAGGTTTTCTATGAAACCGTAGTATTACATCGCTGTCTCACAGACGTGCTTGCAATAAATTTCCAATTTATTTATTTATTTATCTTATCTGAAATGACATAATAATATAAAGAAGCATTGATAACCTTGTTTACATTTTTTTTTCTGCAAAAAATACAGGTTTTAATTTGATTGTTAATTTACCTTAGTAATTGTCTTTCTGTATTGTTTTTCTGATTGTCTGTAAGTATAGAGTTACATAAGTTGTTCACCTTGTGAAGTACATAGAACCGATGTGTGCAAAGCATATGATAGGTGCACGTGTATTAAACGTGTTTATATTATTAAGTTGCTTGTAGATATTAAGGGTCTGTGTCACCATCTTCATATAAGAAGTACAAATTACGGTTCTTAATAAATTTATCACGAAAACTTTTTTTTTAAACGGCTCACGTGAACAGACTGTACTGACTACGCAACGCCGCCGCACCACGCACGCGTCTATCAATTAACAGTCCTAGTATGACTTGAAATTAGTATAAGTAACATTTAACTCTTAGATTCTTAGTGAAAGGTTATTTTGAAAAAAAAAAATGTTTTTTTAATGTTGCCTCTCACTAGAATTTCTCCTGAGTCGTGTTTTCCTGTCCAAACATACAATTTCACATGCACATTACACCCAGACCAGCAACAACAATTTATAGATCACATAAAGAGTTGTTTCGTGCGGGAATCGAACCAGTGACACGTTGCGCGGCAGCCAACGCACCAATATGCAGTAATAGATAGGAAGGAGAGTTAGATAAGCTTCAGTACGAATGGTACGAGAGGAGTGATACCACGGCCTCAAAAAAAAAAACGGGAGTGAAACAAACATAGCGTTGTATTTCGCCACGTGTGTCAGGTTACCAGAGGCCCAATCAATTCCTCCCCATCCTTGAATACCCGAAACCCAAATCACCAAAAGGCTGGCTACGCACTCGAACGTCCTTAATCTATACCAACAAAGAAGTATCTCAAAAAATCTTAAACTGTTACAGATCATGATAATCCTTTTGGTATGGGTGGCGGTGCTGATCGCAGCTGTGGTGTTGTACTTCAGGCAGCTGTACTCCTCATTGAGTCGACATGGCGTGAAGCATTTCAAGCCAGTACCTATCTTTGGCAACATGGCCGGAATTTTGTTACGGATCGACCATGTTTGTGATAGTATTATGAAGCTGTACAACGATTTTCCTGAAGAGAGGTAAGGAGTTCATTTTGTGTTTTGATATCTTGAATATTAGAATTTTCCCTTCAGGTTGGTTTTTTTTTTAAATAAAAAACATTGCGCCGCACTAGAATCTTATCCTGTGTCGTAGGTTCATATACAAACACGTTATTATTTCCGATCCCTCATCTTAAAGCAGAAGAAGAAACTGGGGCTTTTTAGTCAGCAAGAGTCTGACATTCCCTCTAGCCTAACAACAAAAAAACTTACGAAAAAACGAGGCGATTTGTATTTCACCCACGACACAAGAGAAATTCGTAGTGATTAACTCGTTTCCCCAGAAATTGACAGTTAAACAATGTTTGAATAGTAGTTAAATAACAGATAAATTCGAACATAGAACTTAGTTGGTACGAACTATGTGCAACAAAAGTCTATCGGAAGTTTATACGAGGGTGCTTAAGCATATCTGTGCCAACTTTTATGTAAATCCATCCAAAAATTTGCATCCATTCTTACAAACATTTCTGTTAATAAAATTTTACAATTATCTTATTCATCAGGTTCGTCGGTAGATACGAGTTCGTAAATGAGCTGATCGTGATTCGTGACATTGATCTCATCAAGAAGATTGCCGTCAAAGACTTCGAGTACTTCCTCGACCATCGCTCCATATTCAGCTCCAGCGAATCCTACTTCTCCAGGAACCTGTTTTCTTTGAAAGGTATTATTTGATAATCAGCCTGTTTTATGGGTATAGGTATAAGGTACCACGGCCTCGGCATGTAGCAGAAGAAGGGACGGGGTGATTTTTAGCCAGTTAGTGTCTCGCATACCCCCTTACTTCACCCTGGGAGAGAGTACTCATTTCATGATGTACCATCTTCAAAAAAGCCTGTTTTTAATATCCTAAAATTAACAGTACTACGCTGGCAACTTTCGTGCCCATTTTTTAAATTTATCTATACAACTTGGCTCTAACCACTTGTGGAGATGACTTGTCATCTATGTAACATTGAAACATATAGTTGCAAGACTTTTTTTTACCAGACATATATCTTAAGTTCCTTTTTTAAACTTATATAACATGTTATTATTTTCTTTAGGCCAAGAATGGAAGGACATGCGCTCTACATTGAGTCCAGCCTTCACCAGCTCGAAGATGCGTCTGATGGTACCATTCATGGTGGAAGTTGGAGATCAGATGATGCAATCACTCCATCAAAGTATAAAACAGTCTAAAGGTAAGTTAAACGAAGCACATCTGAAGTTTGCTGGAGACAGCGCAGTAAGTTTATTTCTAATCCCCCTTAAGAGACAGCATCTGAACACAAACTCCCTTTTTTCTAAATTTATTTCTCAAACAAACCCCAATCTCCTTTGAAATCCCTAACAAACCTTTTTTACCATATAATGACTTTCCTGCCCTCGAAAGAAGGAAACTCAGTATATTACTGAATAAAAACGTTTCCGTACTTCTTCTGTTCCGAACTGAAACCATTTTTTTTTATGTAATAGCTCGGCAAACGAGCAGACGGATTACCTGATGGTAAGCAATCAGCGCCGCCCATGGACACTCGCAACGGTGGAGTTACGAGTGCGTTGCCGACCTTTTAGGGATTAAGGATTTGGAGATTTAGGGATTGAGGAGGGATTGGGGAAGGGGAAGGATTGGGCCTCCGTTACCATTTGTAGCTTTATCATTTACATGCTATTTTTAAATCCCAAAATTCTTTACAGATGGCTCCATAGACATAGACTGCAAGGACCTGACAACTCGCTATGCTAACGACGTGATTGCGTCCTGTGCCTTCGGCCTGAAGGTGGACTCTCACAATGACAAGGACAACTCCTTCTATGCGTTGGGCAAGGAGACCTCTTCATTCAATTTCCGACAAATGATGACCTTCTTCTTGTTGATCAACGCTCCAGCTTTGGCTAAGGTAAGAGATCTTAACATTAGTTAGTCTCTATTAATAGTCATGAAAATATTCTATTTAATTCATGGACGTGACATAATTTCGATACATTGCTGGTAGAATTATGAATTTAGATATTTTGGATATTATATTTTCATATTTAAATTCGTCATAACAAATGAATACGATAGTTTTTGTCGATGACAAACAAGTGCAGACTTCTGCATCAATGTAAGGTGTTTTATAACGTATTAAAATAATTTCGCGATTAGATATTACTAGCTCAACCCCCAGGTTTGGAAGCATATGAAAGTAATTTATCTCAGGGTTATAAAAACAGTAGCGGTCATAGCAATAGCGTGACTAAAATAGGCAAATCAGCAGACTCAGGAACATTGTAGCTCTATATCTATCAGTAAAAGAATTTTGGAAATACTAGCGGTTACAAATACCTCTTTAATATTAGATTAGATTTACGTTTTAAGAGGAATTTCAACATTAGATTTCTTGACCTATCCTATTAAAATTTCTATTCTATGATAACAATCTGAGTTACGACGCAGTGAATTGACTGAAACGCGCGTATCAGAAATGACTTGAAGAAGGTAGGCAAACGATAGACTGAATAGACTGCTATAGGCATTAATAAACAACAACAGAAACATTTGATCAATCTTAATATCCTTTAAGCTAACTTATCAATAAAAAAATGTAAAAGTAGAAGATAATTTAAAAGCAATAATCTTAGTATTATGACGGTAATGTCTGAACGTGATAACAACGTCTCCTCGTTACAGGACGGTGTTATCAAACACATTATAATAGGTCTTTAGCTATGAAATTGCCATTTTGCATGAAAAAATTTAAACGAATTTTTTGATTTGAAATGCGATGAAAATGTAACACTAATCAATAAACAAATGACAACATTTGGAAAAAGAATCCCATGTTTTTAAAACAAAATTAATTAGCCTTAGCCTAACAAAAACTATTTTGATTTGAAATTGCCAGTACTGCAGAACGGCAATTTCATAGGTAAAGACCTATTATTTAGGAGCCAGATGAATTTGATTGTTTTTATTATAATAATAACACGCTAACTGATATAGCCTGGGCAAAACGTATTGAATGGAATTTGTAATTAATTGGGCAATGTAAACGCAACAACGATAGACGAAAGTACAGTAGCATGGGGAAACGTCAAAAAGTTTACATATTTAGTCAAATATTTTGCGCATGAACTGTGAGTTGGCCGTCTAAATGACACAGAAATTATCTAACAGTCAACTCTTGGGAGGTGTAGAAAGATAAAAAGCAAATTATTTCTCGTCTCTGTCTTATAGAAATGTCAATGACCCTTGTAGTTTTGGGTACCAGGAACACCCTTTAAATATTTTTTAAATGTGTGTGTGCATCTATAGCCAAATCTACTGACATGTCATTAAGAAAGTCGTCCGGGCATTTAATGCGAATAAAATGATGAATTCTGATCTACATTATAATATGCGTTAATCAAATTTTCTTTCATTTGGGTGGAAAGGTAACGGATACCGCTCCCCTATCCATTAACACAACACATACATTGTACACGGTAAAGTCTATGTCAGCGATAATTTAATTCAAAATGTAAATATTATGATCGACATGTAAACATTGAGTCATTCATTCAATAATGCATTCTATACACACAGCTACAAAGTTCAAGGTCATTTTGACGCGGTTTCCACAACAAAGTTTGTATACGAAAGACGCAATTAAAATTAAAGTACTAGCGGTCACATGTAATCATTGTGTATCATTTGATAAAAGATAACACAATAAACACAACAAAACATTATGTACAAAGAAAATTACAGAAAATAATATATACCTACCTAAGTAATTATGATAATAATGCCATATCTGATCATGATTATATTTAAATGTAATACCAACTTTATCCCACAGTTTTTAAAGTTGGATTTCCTATCCGATTCATCAAAGGAAGCATTTAAAAAGCTAGTGCTTGGTACAATGGAGAACCGAGAAGTAAAGAAGATCATCAGACCCGACATGATCCATTTGTTAATGGAAGCTAAGAAAGGTAGACACAACAAATATAAAAAAACTGATAAAATGAATGCAATTGGTGTAAAAGGTGATACTACTAATGACTTTCTGATTACAGGCAAATTAACTCATGAAGAAATCAAATCCAATGATTTAGCAGCCGGATTTGCTACTGTTGAAGAATCAGCTGTAGGACAAAAAGAAATTAATAGAGGTATGTATTATAAAGCAGAAAACAGTTCGGACGTCAATGCAGCAAAAACGGATGCATTTATTGCTATTATTATTCAAAATCTTTATGGCTATAGTTGTTAGTGGCTTAAAAGAAAAAAAGGCTCTCATGAGCGTTCCAATGATTAACGATCAAAATATGAATGAAATTAAAATCTCGTTTGTTGATAAAAAGGTTTGATAAAAAATAATATTCGTAAAAAATCGAATGTTCGTTTCAAAAACATAAGGTCCGAAGCTGTGGATTGTATACAAGTAATGAACAAAAATGGATGAATTATGGCAAATATTTATATAGGTACTTGGCTAAACCCAAATGATATTTGTAAGCGAATACGTCCCAACCAAATGACTGCGATAAACCTGATCATCCAATTTTGGAATTTTATAACAACACCACTAAGATTAAGAGGTGTGTAGATGATCTATTGAAGAACTAAATTCTAATAAGACACGTCGTTGTACTTTCAGTATGGACTGATGAAGACCTCGTGGCTCAAGCAGTTCTATTCTTCATAGCTGGTTTTGAGACCGTCTCATCGGGAATGTCATTTCTTCTCTACGAGCTTGCTATGAACCCCGATGTTCAGGACCGCTTGGCACAAGAGATCAAAGATAATGATGCTAAGAATGGAGGCAAATTCGACTTCAATTCCATCCAGAACATGGTGTATATGGATATGGTTGTGTCAGGTGAGATTGGTGATTTTAATAATAAAAATAGTGGCATAGAAAGAATAACAGTCAAGTAAGTTGCAGGAAAACGTTAAAATGAACTTGGCTACGTTCGAACCACATTATGGGTTCATAGACACGAACAGCAATTCGTAACAAACAACGCCTCAAACGTGCTAATTAATGTTATTATATCTTACGTAAATCATCACCTGAAAAAAAAAAATAACCTGATATCAGCAAAAATAACTAAATAATAATGATAGAAAATAATTTAGAATCATTTTCATTTTGCAGAGCTTCTCCGTCTTTGGCCTCCAGGCGTTGCCCTTGACAGACTATGCAATAAGGACTACAATTTGGGCAAACCTAACCCGAAATCAGAGAAAGATTACATTGTGAGTTACACATTCAATTTTATATACTACGATTTCATAATTATGCATTTAAAATACGATGTTTGGTTGAAGAAAACAATATTTTTGATAGGGAAGAAAAAGTAGCAAGGGTTTTTTTAACAAGTTTGTTCTTGTTCCTAATTAAAGTTTTAATTCCTATGGTTACAAGTCAAAGAATTAGTTACACTTCTGAAATCTCTAATGTCATTTTTTCTTTTATAGTTGCGCAAAGGCACCGGCGTCTGGATCCCAGTTTATCCAATCCACCGTGACCCTAATTTCTTCCCTAACCCCGACAAGTTCGACCCAGAGCGCTTCTCAGAAGAAAACAAGCATACTATCAATCCCACCACGTATATGCCGTTCGGCGTCGGACCAAGGAACTGCATTGGTGAGTACATCATCACATACATTATCAGCCTATAAGTGCCCACTGCTGAGCAAAAGCTTCCTCATACATGGAGAAGGTTTGAGCATTAATCATCGCACTTGGTAAAGGCGGATTGGCAATTTCAAATTTAAAATTAGAAATCATAAGTCCAGATTTCTTCACGATGTTTTCCTTCACCGTGTGTCAGTGGTATCTAAATAATAATAGAAAGTACATATAACTTGGAAAAAGTCAGATTGGTACTTGCCAGGTTACGAATCCGCACTCTCATGATCTCATCATTGGTGAGTGCAAATAGAATATTCTTTTGAAAAAGACCTTTAAAGTCTATAAAAACGTTCTAAAGGGAAAATATTATTACAAGCATTAATGCAACGCTACGGTATCGTAAAAGGCCACGGTGACTCCCTTTCAACAAGAATCTTTAAGCCTGTCTGGCACCTCAGCGGTATAAAAAACATACAAGAAGGCGTTCAAAAAACTTACCTATAAAGGAAAATAGGTGATACAATTTAATTGAAGTTACTATCTCTTGGAAAAAACCAAAATGGCATATAATGGCACAAAACCTTATAAAAATTTTCGTTTTTTCTCCAGGTTCAAGATTTGCGCTTTGTGAGATGAAGGTGATGGCGTACCAGATCCTACGAGAGATGGAAGTGTCTCCTTGTGAGAAGACCTGCATACCGGCCAAGCTCTGCAAGAACACTTTCAACCTAAGGCTCGAAGGAGGACATTGGTTAAAATTCAAACAGAGAACTTAAAAGAAAAATAATATAATTTGAAAAACGTTATTTATAAGCGAATACCCACTGTTTGATTGCTCCATAAATATTTTTAGGGAACTCTCTCTCTCAGAGAAAAGATGGATTCTTATGGATTTTGTATAGACTAAGATTATTTTAATGTGATATACGATTTTATGAGCTAGGCTTGTTGAAGTACTTATTTAAAATAAATTTACATTTTAATATTATTTGTTTTTTCTTTTTTATTTCATATTTTGTCTTCATCTGCGACCAGCCTTTGTAAGGCGTCCAACAGCGTCTTTTGTATCAGTAGCCTGATTGTTATATGCAAATCGCCTGCAACTGTATGCAGCCTGGTACACCTGGCTACGAATGATGGTAATGTCATCATTACCTATGATGATGTTACCTATGATGCATGAACATCATAGGTAACAGATTAGCTTTTGCGTTGTCCGTGAAAATGTAGAGTCACTTTTCAAATTATTGTCTTCAATTCATCATCGTCAACAGCCTATAAGTAAAGACCTCTCTTCGTACAGAGAAGGAATGACCATTAATTATCAAGCTTGCTTATAGTGAATTGGTTGGAATGATTACGAATTTACAATTAGAAATAATTAGTCCAGGTTCCCTTACGAGAATTTTGACAATCATGTGAATCTGTGTACAAAACTGCGAAAACGGACGTTTATGAAAATTACTTTTAGAAAACAATAATAGATGGCGTTGTTATCAAAACCAACGGTCTCCACGTAGTGCTATACGAAGTTCATGATAACGACTTTAGTTTTAGGTCACTCGTAACGTAACTAAAGGTAGAAACATCCATCAAAGTTACTACCTCCATGTCAAGGAACTGGGCCAAAGGAAACTGCATTTAGGTCATCAATAAATCACGATTTGTTCCTTTTATATTACACAAGGTATCTTTTAAAATAAGGTCGGTGTACAAACACGTGGGGGTGAAACAACATGGGGGTCGTACACATGAATCAGAGCTTCGATAGCGTGTGGTGCTAATATTTACTTCCAATTTTTCTCGTACCTTTAATGTAAGTAGGTATGTTGTGAACCTGAAGATGATATATAAAACATGACACATGAGAACTGTTTTTTCTGATAATTATTAATGTGTTTCTATTAAATAACACACACGGTTAGCTACGGTATTAGTTTAATTGACAAGGCCTAAATCAAAATTCTTTGAGTTTGTTTTAAAAACACTCAGCATCATTTTCTAAAACCAAACTAACAAACTTTTGATGAAATAAGTTCCATGTCACTACAAACTAATTACTACGCCTCATTTCTCTGAAACTATGCTCCTAGATCCACGATCTAAATAGCGTACTCCTTCAACGCCACCAACTTACAAAACACACTTTAACTGAAAATTAGTTCAAGAAACAACATAGAGATGTCTCTAATGTAAACTTTCATCATCAATCTACATTCTACGACTATTAATCAAAGTCTTATATCTTCCGACATGATGCAAACACGATATTTCGGTAGCCCATATATTTCTGCTAGTCGTCGCGTCTTGTCGCATATGTTAGCACCGCTCATATTTACTATGAAACCATCGCTTACTTTATGTAAATTTTAAGCTCATATAGATGGTATATATTTTGCTTAAGTAGTGCAGAGTTATGGGATTACATTTTATTACGTTGTAAAAGGTTTGTTTTAGTTTACCTTTTCGTGGGTACGCAAGTTTTAGGCCATGCGAATCTGAATATAAAATCCACATGAATATAATAGGTAAATGGAAGAAAAAATCTTCATAAAAGTCAAAAAAAAGTCAAAAATCATTTATTCCAATTAGACCTTTACAGGCACTTTTGAACGTCAAACAAAATTTAAAATAAAAAATAGTGTCAGTCTGTCGGTCAGTCCTCTTAGTGAAGCTATTTGCTCGTTCCAAAGTGTTGATTCCGATGGAGAAGAATGAGCAAGAAACTCCATGGTTACTCTTTTTAAATCAGTTTCACATACAGATTCCTTTTACAAACAGTTGGTTCAATTATGTGAGAACAGTGTAACACTAATATTTATTCAAATATAAAAATAAAGTAACCTTAAGGACAATAGACAGTCTGGAGCTGACCAGTCCCAACTGACGGCGCTCGTTCACGAGCATGACACGTACACCAGCATCGCCCAACTCAACCATATTATAGGGAATTAAGCGATCCAGTGCCCATGCCACCGCCAGTGTGACCTTTCAGTGAGCATGACAACTCCAAGCTGTTATAAGGACCGACATTCTGCTAGTCTAACCAATTATAATAGGTTACAGGGCACTCACATTTACAAATTTATCAAGTTATAGTTATACAATATAATGCAATTTCACTAAAATGAAGAAGTCCCGTTCAAGCAAAATCCATTGGAACGTTATTTATTTTGGTGTACGTTTGCTATCCTGTGGAGCAGGACCAGCATGTCTCCAAGCATCTTTATCTACAATGTAATCATTCAGTGTGTAGTATGCTTTTCTACATAAAGTTTTCTTTACACATAATTTAAAATTTCTTTCATTTAATTGTTGTATTTCGCCTGGGATTTTGTTATAACATTTAACACAGAATCCCATGAACGACTTATGTACCTTTGCCAATCTAAATAATGGCTGACATAATCTATCTCTATGTCTAGTTTGATAATTATGTCTATCTGACACCTTTTATGAAAATATTGAAATGATTTTTGAAAAAGACAAGAACAATTTTCGCTATAGAATTATTTTCTCATGTTTCACGATATGTGAATTAATAATGACACTTCCGAAACGGCTCTTAGTATAAAACTTATAACCTTATAACCCGACATACCGAAATGAAAATTCATTAGGTACTTGTACCTGAACCTTCACTCAACTATTTCTGTAATCCCGTTTTATTGGTATAAAGGAATTCAAGACACGCAGTGATTATCCGTGCGTTAAGATTTGCCGAAATACTTGGCTTTGAGCAACTATGCGTGACCGAGTTTATTCCTAAACGTGCAAGCGCCTGACAACAATTTAGTATTTATTTTGGAAAACGGCGATAAGCAAAACCCACTAAATAGATGATGAGTAAATATGGCCAAAAAACTCTGTTCAATCCTGCCAAATGGGCTTAGTCATGAGTGAAAATTATGGCTATCTTCACAGTAGGTCCTATTGAAAAGCAGTAGGTAGATGTTTTTTTGACGGACTGTATTGCCAAATTTCACTTCATAACTCACTCTGTTCGTAATTGGCTCTTGACAGCAATTTAATGAGTATTTTAGGTTCATATAACTTAAATTTTGTGTACGAACCCCAAAATGCTAAACCTACTTACGATGGAACGTAAGTCATATCGCATTAATTTTTTTTTAAGTGTCTATATTAGCCCAAGATATCTTATATATCAATTTAAGCGTTTATAGACTTTATTGTATTGGAAAACAAGGTTGGTAATTGAATAATCATTTTATTATAAATAAAATAGTATATAATAAAAATAGTATTTTAGTTAAATCTAGCTACCTATCGCAACAAACTGTGAGTATGGGTAAAAGCATTGTAAAAAGGTAGTCCTTTATAGAAAATAAAAAAAGACAATTTCATGCTAATTTGGAAGAAAAAACAATGTAATTGAACAGAAAGACGCCATTATAGTGTCTTTGCATCGATAATTTGTTTTATCAAGTTTATTGATGAAACTTTTTTTTTGTTTTTCTAAGATATTTCATTGTTGTTTTAATTTCATGTAACATTGTTATTACTAGGTTTGCAATTTAAAAGAAGAATTCAAAATATTACTATTTTTTTAAAAAAGCCTACTTACATTACCAAATTAAGCGAAAAAATTGAATTTATGTGTATATTCGAAATATCACTAATTATACACAGCAGGTACATTCCCTAGAGTATTTGTATCAACTGAAAATAAACTGCATAAAAATCCGTCTATTAGTTTCTAAGTTCACGTGTAATATAACATAGAAAGGGCTTACATAGACCAAAGAAGGAATCAATATCTATACTAATATTATAAAGAGGTAAATTTGTAAGTTTGTATGTAGGGGGTAATCTTTGGAACCAATGGTCGGATTCCCAAAATTCTTTCACTGATAGAGCTACAATGTTCCCAAGTGCTATAGGATATAAAACATCACGCTACGAGCAAATGGAGCTGAGCAGCGGGTGAAACAGCACGAGAGTAGCTAGTCAAGTATAAAACAAAAATTTTGCATTCAACCCGCTTCGCGCCTCGGCTGGTGACAAAGCGGCATCGCTTCGGTCTTACAGACCTGTCACCACGCACAGTTACCCGCTGTAATAGCTTTTCTACCCGGTTGGGCAACGTCAAGTACGTTACTTTATTCCACTTGTTATTATTCTTAATCCTTTTATACCCACCCGGAGCGGCGAAGGGTTAAATTTATGCTATAAATCTTTAGTTGTCTTGATACTTTGCATGAGTATTAGTCGCGACTTAGGGTTATTTATGTTTGTTTTAGGTTGTTCTTAATCATATGAGCGTTAAAATTTCTTTTTATTCAAATTAAGTTATGATCAGATGTTAACGCAGAATGATTTGTAAATAAATATCGTTTTTGCAATTCGGATAATATTTAAACATACTAGTAATAAGTTTAGGTTGTAATAGAAAATCTTTCTTTCTTTCGTTAAAAAAACTTTGCCCCTATTAGGATTTTCTCCTGTGTCGTGGATGCGTTTACAAACATATAATTACACATACACATCACACGCAGACCTAGAACCACAATTTGTGGATCACACAAAGAGTTGTTTTGTGCGGGAATGGAACCCACGGCACGTTGCATGGCAGCCAGTTGCCCAGCCATGGAGCCAAACGTGCTGCCAAATGTATGTTAATATCGCCTTGTATTCCCTTTCTTTCTTAATCACCTTTAAGAAAGCATGACAATTTTCTAGTTGCATTCATCATTTTAAGCGTGGGAGAGCCATGCACGGACAGTAATAGAAGCAAATTACAGAATACAACTCACTATAAAATGCCAAGACAGCAACAATTCACCGTACGTGCATAAACGATGCCCTTTCGAACAATTGCTATTGATCTTAGTTAGCCGGAGTTAGGTACTTTGCAG